CTACTCAGCTCCTTAACTTGATTTTTTCCCCTTTGCTTTGGCTTCTTGGCTCTCTTGTGCAATATTAAGAGTCTCTTACATCTGTTTTGATCTTTTCTTTTTCAATCTTTGTAATGACCTTTTGCATTCTTCATGAATGCTATTCTTGATATCTTCCCACAGCTCATCTGGTCTGCATTTATTAGTGTTCAAGACCTCAAACCTATTCCTGAGTTGGTTATTAAATTCATGGGGGATGGACTCAAGGTCAAATTTTTATTCCTGTGGATATGATTTAACCTTCTTTAGCTTTAATTTGGACTTGCATATGAGCAGTTGATGGTCTGTACCACAATCAGCACCTGGCCTAGTTTTCATGACTCATATTGAACTTCTCCAATGATTCCTTCTATTATTATTGATTTTAAATATTTTAATTAATACCTTTGGTAGCTGCAGTTAATAAATCAAAAGATGTGCTGTGTTGGGGGGGGATCTGCTTTCAAGGACCTCTTTAATTTTCTCAAGAGATGGTTATCAGTTTAAAAACTGAGTCTGACAATAGTCATGATATTTCCCATTGCTTTGTATGCATGTAAAATTGAATGACTAAGAGATACTACAAAAGAATTGATGTTTTTGAAATTTGATGCTTCTAAGGAGTATTGAATATACTACAGATTTCCAAAAGAACATACAAATCTTGAAGGAAGTGAAACCAAGGTGTTTCGTGGAGGCAAGAATGATGAAACTTCAACGCGTATATATAGGACATGTTGTCAGGAGTCCATGAAAAAAAAATATAAAGCTTGGAACTGTAGAGGAATATCTTTGATAAGATGGATTAACACAGAAAATATAAAAATATGTTGGGGCTTTCTCTCATCACCACCAGAGAAGTAGGCATGATCTTCAGAACCAGATGGTCTTGTGCCTGCTAAATTTACACCAGCAGCAGCCATGACAGAACCAGAGAGTCAAAATAAGATTGGACTGCTACATGCTGCTGTCCCCCAGCCCCTGCCCTGCAGAACCAGAGCTAAGATAAGAACCTTTGCCGAAGTTTGTCGGGCAACTTGGGGCTGGGAGAGGCAAGTCACTATTACCAGAAAACTGCATAACTCTGGCCTTAAGTGGTAAGAAGGCTCAAGGCGGAGGTGCCTACAAGCACATTCCGGAAGCTGTCCTGACTATATTCTGTTATTAATCTGGATTATAACCTTTTAACTTCTCCAATATAGCTCTGTGTGGTCAGTGAAGTGGAGTTTATCTTTCAATATTGCTTTTCTTAGCCATTATTTGACTTTGCTATGTCGATGGTTGGGAATATATGAATGGAGTGTATTAGCATATGCACGAGGGAATTAGCCATCTACTATTTCACAAAAAGGACTGGCGAGTCTCAACAATCTACAAGGAGATTGGCTAGTCTCATCATTGAATTGAGCCAGCAGCTGCAGACAGATCTTCCCCTTCCATTGAAGAAGTAAGAGAATGTAGGCTGTCCTTGCTCTAAATGTTCCTAAAGCAGCAACAGCTATGGACAAACTGGAGACCTAACATGGGATAGAGCTTTGAGGGTGAGAGCCAATATTGACAGGACTGAGAAATTTGTAACACTAGCATAAAACCATGAAGCTCAAAGCTGAGGTGCCTGCATGCACATTTCAGAGCTGTCTTGACTATATTCTACTACTAACCTGGATTATATCTTTCAACTTTATAAAAATGAGTTTGGGTGATGGAAGTTGTGAGGATAGCGCAGGATAGTGCAAGGTTTCCGTTATTCACAGAGAAGAGATGAATTAGAGTTAGCCTAACAACACCTTTAACAATGAGTATCCTAACAGAAGAGAAACTGATTACCAATCAAATGCAAAGGAAACTACAGAAAAGTCATTCGTGACATCATGGGGAAAGGAAAGGTACAATTAAGGATAACTGCATTAAATATCTAAGGAAGAGATAAAGAACACTTCATGATGTGTCAGCATCACCAAGGAAATAATAATGTATGGGAATATAGTCTTGCTGTTGTTGGTAGCTTCCTTTGAGTACAAAATACTGACTGCCTAGACCTGCGCCATGGTCGGGGTCAAATTGTTGTGATCCATAGGACATTCATGAATAATTTTTAGAAGTAAATATCCATGCCTGTATTCATAAGCTGTCTTTGTCTGGAAGCTCTGGTAAAACCACTTCAGTATCATAGCAACATGCAAAGCTCCATTGATACATAGTGTCTGTAAACAAGGTGTATAGGCCAAGAATTAAAACTAGATTTCCCTCTGGATGATGTCTTTAAGTTTCATCCAGTACACAAGAATTGACCTGCAAAGATTTGTAGCACCACAGATGCGACAAGCCAGCAGCATACGTATAGCCCAGTCTATAGGGAGGTGTGCTGCTAACCCATGGCTACATCTCTCCGGTGGTTCAAATCCACCAGAGGCTCTACAAGAGAAAGATAGGCAATATCCTCCCATGCAATCACATTAGACTTGAACAAACAATGTAGGGTCAGCTATAAATCTGTTACAACTTGATGGCGATGAGTTTGAATACATTTTCACCCTCAGAGGGTACTCAGACACTGACAATGCATGGAGTACTGGAATTGATTCCTTGCCACTGGACTTTTTAAAAGCTTCCCATTGAGTCCGCTGTCCAGCTGGCATGAAGGCAGTAGCATGACCAGACAAACGTGTAGTGCATTGGTGGAAAAGATATAATTTATAACTTCAAACCTAGCCAGGGAGAAAACCTGCACAGATGCTCAAAATTTTAACACCCAACGTTTTACACCTTAGAAGAAATGAAACCAGTCATAGAGTCAATTAAGGAAAAACCCCATCGGTCAAAAGAAGATTCAGAAGTTAAGAAAGCACACAAAAGGAAAATTCTATTAGAAATCTAACTAATCAGAAACTGCAAAGAATAGAGTTATAAAAGATGCAAAACAAACCAGCAGTAATGAGGGAAGAATGGATATGTTAAAAAATTAAAGATTGGAACAATTGAGAAATTTGTGGGTGATGCAAGCAGTTTACCTGCTTGGCTGCTAACCCAACATTTGGAGTTTGAGTCTTCCCAGAGATACCCTGAAAGAAAGAGTGAAGACAAACTTCCAAAAAGTCAGCCAGTGAAATAATGAATAGGCTTTTGACCCACTTGACGCTGCTGTGAGTTAGAGTCAGTTGGACAATGATTTCCTAGAAGCAATCACAAGTTAGTAATGTGGAAGACAGACATGATACCCAACTCCTACATTAAATCAAACTTGATATTTTTTTTCCCTCAAGTTTGAAACCCATGACCAAAAAAAGTTAATTTATGCTAAATTATGCTAAATTGTTTTAAAGATTGAAACGTTTTCTATTATGAGAGATTGAACTTTTTATTTTCATTTTTTTCTTTTTTAACACTTTTCAATTGTAATTTAAAGGGAAGTTTACACATCAAATTGAGTTTCATTTTTCTGGGGAAAACCTCACTATTGTGAAAATTAGACTAATCGGAAAGTTTCAAATAGTAAGATTTCATTCTCAAAGATGAGCTATTCTTTTTACTGGAAATTAAAGATTGTTTAATTATGTCAAAATTTACCTCATCTTACTTTAAATAAGAACCAACACATAGTCTTCCCTCCACTGATATCCAAGGCTTTAATCAGCATGGGAGGAGGCTGACTGTCCTTCTCCCTCTGAGCTACTGATGAATTTAACTGTCAGAGAGGCACCACCTTTGGGTTAGCAAAGAGTAGTCTCTACAGACTACCCTGCCTTGAAGAATTTTCTTTTGTACACAAAAAAGAAACATGAATATGGTTTGCAACAACTATCATTTCAATATATACAAATATTGTTACCATGCCTGCGTAATATTCATTTTGTTAGGCTGCTTCATGAAAGCTTGCCAGAAGGTCAGCTACGAGTCATTTCTGACTTGATGAATTTGAGGGTAATTTTGAGGTTACTGCCACCAGAATACTTTCTTTTGTTAGAACCTGCAATCCAGATCGACAATGGAGAATTTCTTGGGAAGGTATCAAAGGGATATCGTATTTTAACGAGTGTCATGCAATGACTAGGGAGCTCTAGTGGCCTAGTGATAGAAGTTGTGCTGTAATCCCAAAGGCATGTGTTCCCAATCTGCCAACTGTTCTTTGGGAAAAGGATGAGCAATCTACTCAGGTATCACTTACTGCCTCTAAAAATCTCCTAAAGGGTCAGCGATGGGTCAGTTCCAGCTGAACAATACACAACCACAATATAATGACCAGATTTCCACTTGGTCTTTTACAATCAATTTAGAGAGTCGTAAGATTTTAGTACAAAACTATTGATTTTCTATAAGCTGTGTTTTGCTGCTGTTGTTAGTTAGGTGCCATCAAGTTAAGTACAACTCATAGTGACCCCACCAACAGCCACTCTGAAACCTGTCCTATCTTGCACCATTTTCACCATCTCTGACACACAAGAGCCCATTGCTGAAGTCACAGTGTCAATCTGTCTTGTTGGGGGTCTTCCTCTCCTTCACTGACCCTCTACCTTTCCAAGCAAGAGGTCCTTTTCCGAGGAATAGCTATGCCTAGCTACATGTCCAGAGTATGAAAGATGAAGCTAGTATAATTATGAAACAATGCAACTCTACAAATAAAAGTTCCAGCTGCTTCCAGAGTTTCTGACCTTTCTCAAAAGTACATGAAGCTGATGATGTCAATTACCTCAAAACAAAGCAGTTGCTTTATTCTCTCTTCTCAGCATGAGGACTTAAAAGCAAAGTAGCAGCTGTAAGTGCTCATTTATAAATTCTAAGAAATTTTATTCTTTTTTTTTTTCTTTGCATGGCTCTTTTCAGTTTATTGCATGAAAGTGTTACACTAGTCCAAGTTAACAGTGGACCCCAAATGGTTACATTATACAAGCTGTGAAGTTTTAAACTTGTGACAAGGGACAGAAGAGAAATTTTCTACTCGTTGCAAGGAAATCCTCACTTAAGCTTCAGTGAGCCAGAAGCACTTAAAACCCGTGAACCTTCAGCTGGTCGTCCTTAGCCAGTCCAGTCTCTACAAGGAACTGGCATATGTTCTTGGGTTGGTCACCCTGTAGCTGAATTACTTCTCCATATTCTGGATGCTCAATTACAGTACCATTGCAGGCAAACTTCTTCTTAAATGCCTTCACTAGTTTCTTTTTATCATCGTAATCATCAGCGATCCCTTGGACAGTTGTAAGGGTCTTCCTGACGTTACTCTGTTGAATTCTTATATGGATATAATCCTCAGTCCCAGCAGGAAGCAGGTCATCACCCTTACTTGCATCAGCAAAGGGGTCGAAAGAGTGGAGGTTCTGGATAGCGGACGTTCTGAATAGCGGACATACGATACGATTCCTTTTCCTCCGTTGGAAACGGCCTGCGGAAGGCGGTGGCGGGAGAAGGCGGGCAGGGGGGAAGGAGCGTCAGGAAGCGAGGGAGCTCGAGGGGGAGGCAGCTGAGTCCTCGACAGCGGCTCAGTGATTGGGGCCAGAAATTTTATTCTTAAGGCTAGTTAAGAAATATGATGACCATTGCTAGTACACATAGAATTCTCTCCTTCCATGCAGGAGACCCAGGTTTCCCTCCTAGCCGCGCACATTATGTGCAATCACTGTCCCTCTGTCCTGGAGGCTTGTGTGTTGCTATGATGCTATACAAATATCAGGGGAGGTATCAAACTAAAATGGACTAGACGTCAAAGTCTGGTGATCCCCTAAAAATTAACCAGTAAAAATCCTGTGGATAACAATGGAACATTGTTGGATTGGCATCCAATCTTTGTGAGTCAAAACTGACACTGTAACAGCTAAGCAGAAAATATTCACAGTTGTATCCATTTTCACATGATGAAACTTATCTACCATAGTTTTTCAATTTTATTTCCCTAACTTTTTCCATAATTCTAACCACGAAGAATAAAATTTCATCAAGTTTTGAATAGATGCTGCTTTTGGCATCAGATGTCAAGTTGACTTAATGAGTAATTTACACGCACACCCCAAATTGCTTTGTAAATTGAAATACTGGGGGGAAAAAATCACAGAACATGGTCTCTTTTAGTAAAGAGTGTGTTTGTTCTGTATAGCTCCAGTTAATAATCCTAATGGTTTAGGGAAGCTTTAATAGTTCTCTCCTTTGTGCTAAACCTGGCCACCTGTGTAACTGCAGTGGATGGCTATCCCTGAACAGAATCTAATGAGTACTTAAAACTCACCAACACACCAGCTTTTAATTGAAAGAGCTATTTTACTACCTTGTTAGCTAATAAGATTATATCTTCTCAGAGAAACATTGAATTGTTTGGTTGGTGCATTAACGCTGAATTAAATGAGCCTTAATTTTCCACTTTTCAATGACTGCAGCTACCAAGTGTAAAAAAAAATTAATTAATAAAAAGTTATCTACTATTTGGCTTTAAGAGGTGGATACAGCCAATTAGGACTAAACTCTGTTCCTAAGGTCTTGTTCATATTTTCCTTTTGGTAACAAGATTGCTGGACACTATCAATATTAATAGCTCTTCCAACTTACATGAAAATAACTTTTTACTTAACTTTATCATAATGGAATTATTTCCCACTTTGAAATTTTTATTGATGTCATGTGTTTTCTTTAATAGAAGACATGCTGAAATCTAGGGATTTTGAGGTGCTATTATGCCTTTTGATAAAATCATATAGAATAAATATATCCCAAGTGGGTTCTGGTGGTAGATTAGTAAACAGACACCCATTTCTCCAGATTCACACAGTAATAAGCATTCCCAACAGTGTATGTACTATAAGTAGGACAGCAGCTTCCCCAAGCCTCTGAAAGACTGAAAATATGGTACTATGTTCCAAGGGTCACAAAAGAGTTAAAAAACACCTGCTGAACTTACTGAGCTCCATGTTATATTTTTAATACTGTATCATGAATTATATAATCATCCTAAGGACATGGACTGCCAAGAGAACAAATTGGTTTGTCTTGGAGAAAGTGAAACCAGGTTGCTCCTTAGAAGCAAAAATGGTGAAACTTCATCTCACATATTTTGGACATGTGTTAGACGAGGCTATTCCTTGGACATCGTGCTAGGAAAGTAAGAGGGTCAGCAAAGAAAAAGGGAGACTTTTAACCAGATGGATTGACACAGTCCAGATGGTGTGACAGCAGCAATGGGGTCAAGTGTGTCAGAGATGGTGATGATGGCACAGGATAGATCGGGGTTCAGATCTGTTGTTCATAGGATCTCTTTGAGTTGCATCAACTCAAAAGCACATAAGAAGAAAGAGCCCTGATGATACAATGACTAAACTTCAGCTGTTAATTAAAATGTTGACAATTCAAACCTTCTCAATACCTCTATGGGGAAAGAAACATGAAGCAGTCAAAATTATAAATAACTTTCTCAAGGTCACCCACCTTTGAACCCTAGCAGTGTTGCTTCAGAACTCAGGTTCTTAATGATTTTGCTATTCTATGCCTGTGATCCCTAGTACTAGGGATATTGTTGCTGATGTTAGATGGATCTTGGCTTAAAGCAGAGAATACCAGAAGAATGTCTATCTGTGTTTCATTGATTAGGCAAAGGCATTTGACTGTGTGGATCATAACAAACTGTGGCTGACTCTGAGAAGAATGGGAATCCCAGAACATTTAATTGTGCTAATACGAAACCTGTACTTGGACCAAGAGGCAGTAGTCAGAACAGAGCAGGGTAACACTGCATGGTTCAAAATTGGGAAGGATGTACGCCAGGGATGCATCCTCTCTCCATACCTTTCAACATGTATGCAGAGCAGATTATCCGAGAAGCTGGGCTCTATGAGGAGAATTGTGGCATCAGGATTGGTGGAAGATCTATCAACAATCTCCGTTATGCAGATGACACAACCTTGCTTGCTGAAACTGAGGAGGACCTCATGCACTTGCTGCGAAGGGTCAAGGACTGCAGCCTTCAGTATGGACTAAGGCTCAACGTCAAGAAGACAAAGATTCTCGCCACTGGACCAATTGACAGCGTCAAGATGGATGATGAAGAGATTGAGAGTGTTCACAGCTTCACTTTGCTCGGCTCCACAGTTAACACTCTTGGCACCAGCAGTCAGGAAATCAAAAAGCGTATCGCAATGGGAAAGTCTGCTGTTAGGGACCTCTCAAAGGTACTCAGGAGCAACAGTGTCTCTCTGGAGACTAAGGTGCGCCTGATACAGGCCATGGTCTTTGCAATCGCTTGTTATGCATCAGAGAGTTGGACAATGACTAGGGAGGACAGAAGGAGAGTGGATGCTTTTGAGCTGTGGTGCTGGAGAAGGGTACTGAATGTACCATGGACTGCCAGGAAAACAAACAGATTCATCTTGGAGAGGATTAAACCAGGCGACTCCTTGGAGGCAAGGATTCTGGGGCTTCATCTGACATACTTCGGACATGTTGCCAGGAGGGACGGGTCCTTGGAGAGGGACATCATGCTTGGGAGGGTGGAGAGACAGCACAGGAGGGGAAGACCCTCTATGAGATGGATCGATTCAGTGACTGGGGTAATCGGGATGGGTGTGTCAGAGGCGGTGCGGTTGGCGCAGGATAGAGCAGGGTTTAGGGCTGTTGTGCATAGGGTCGCTATGTGTCGGAAACGACTTGACGGCACATAACAACAACAATGCCTGTGATCAGGAGAAAATTCAGTACCTCTCACATTCAATTATTTTTGACATTTGAGGCTGGATGATTTTTTTTATTATAAGAAGCCATATTTTCACCATCTACCTGGAGGCCAATAGCACCTAATTCTTTTGTTATGACAATCAAAAATGTTCTCAGTCATTGCTTGATGTTCTCAAAGCAAAACATTTTCTTTTGAAAATAATTAATGAAAAGAGAAGCTGCTAATAGACAAACATGATATTATTAAAGTTAACCTTAGTATGCTTCTCTATCTTTTGAGATAATGTATTTTAGGTACCATCAAGCAAAATACAACTCATAGCAACTCTGTGAACAACATATCTGAAACTTGTCCTATTCTGTGCCATCTTCACAATCTCTGACACACTTGAGCTAATTGCTACAGTCACTGTGTCAATTCACCTGGTGAGGGCTTCTCTCTCTTTTGCCTTCACCACACCTTGTTAAGCATGAAGCCCCCCTCCAAGGAATAGCCTCTCCTAGCAATATCCTCAAAGTATGTAAGATCAAGTTTTGTCATCTTTGCCTCCAAGGATCACTCTGACTGCACCTTCAACAAGACATATCTGTTTGTTCTTTTGGTAGTCCATGTTGTTGTTGTTGTTGTTGTTGTTGTTACGTGTTGAGTTACTTGTGACTCATAACAACCTTATGTACAACAGCTCTGAACCCTGTTCTATCCTGAGCCAACCTACTGTCTCCAAAACACCTACCTCATTACCCCAGTCACTGAGTCAATCAATCTCATCAAGGGTCTTCCCCCCACTCCTGCACTGTCCCTATATCTTCCCAAGCAAAACGTCCCTCTCCAAGGACTGCTCTATCTTTGTAACATGCTCAAAGTATGTCAGACAAAGCTTAAGAATCCTTCCCTCCAAGGAGGAGCCTGTTTTCACCCTCTCCTAGACAAATTTGTTTAGTTTTCTAGCAGTACATGGAATATTCAACACTCTTCTCCAGCACCACAACTCAAAGGCATCACTTCTCCTATCATCCCTAGTCATTGTCCAGCTTCCTGATGCATAGTAAGTAATTGTGAAGACCATGGCCTGGATCAGGTGCCTCTTAGTCTCTAGATGAAAATTTTTGCTCTTTAGTGCTCGGAAGATGTCCCTGACAGCAGACTTTCCCAATGCAATTCATCTTTTAATTTCCTGGCTACTGGTACCAAGAGTGTTGATTGTGGAGATAAGCAAACTAAAGCTGTTAACAATTTCAGTCTCTTCTCCATTCATCATGATGCTGCTAACAGGCTCAGTGGTGAGAATCTTTGTTTGTTTTTTATGTAGCACTTCAATCCCTATTGAAGGCTGCAAGCTCTTCAGGTTCTCCTCAGTTTCAGCAATTAAGATTGGTTCATCTGCATAACGCAGGTTATTGATGAGTCTTCCTCCAACCCTGATGCTACATTCCTCCTCATAGAGCCCAGTCCGATGATCTGTTCTGCATACAGGTTGAAAAGGTATGGAGATAGGACACATCCCTGGCATACACCCTTCCCAATTTTAAACCATGCAGTGTTTCCTTGCTCTGTTGGTCTAAGTATAGGTTTCGCATAAGCACAATCAAGTGTACTGGGATTCCCATTCTTCTCAGACTTCTTGTTGTTGTTATAGTTGATTGCTGTCGAGTCGAGCACGACTCATAGCAACCCAATGGTC